TGTGCTACTTTGTCACACATATCACATTTTATATATTACTTTCATTTAAATAATATTTTCTTTAAAAGTCTGCATTAATTTCAGCTTCCACATAACAGAGCAAAACATAAAACATAGAAATATCCATTAAAAATATTAGCCTCGGACTTCTGGTACTTCAAAACACGGAGATAATATATCAAAATATGGACCCATTATGACAGGTTCCGAATGAAAGTTTGGGAAGTTAATAATTTTCAATCTGTGAACAAAATAATTTATGATCGTGTTTGATTACATTTTTACTAAGCATCTATTTTTTTTCCTTTAACATTACTTAATGATTACTCACTTATAAGATTATATAGATATTTCTATTGTGATTTTTCGCCACTGCGACCGGGTTAAAATAAAAAAGGTAGAAGTTAAAATAAAAAAATTATTTGAGAATAATACTCTGAACACAAGCAGAGCTTCGGCCTACAATTAGAGCAGTAGTCTAAAATCAGAACCCAAAAATGACTGGTTTCTGATGATGTTTGTACTGTTAGCCTTTTAGCTTTTACAGCTTCGTCAGACTCAGAACCTCTCAGGCCGCAAGCTAAAAAGAGGTGAATTTTTATTATTCTGCGTCTTTACTTGCGTAAAGATGACTTCTAGGACAATTTAAAGTGCACGTACATAAGTTATCTAACGCCCGTCCGAACAGGGGATGATGAGCCCCGGCTCTGACGGACAACTCGTATCGTATGATGATCTGGGCGGTGAGAACCGCCCAGGGACGCGGGTGTACGGTGTGTATGCGGTGTGGAGGGGTATGTGGCGCGTCCGTCTGCGGAATCGCTGCGTCCCATGAGGTGTTGTCCTAACTTTGTTTGTGGCACTAGGTGAGTGTGTAGTGTATATGTGTGAATGGCCGACAACATTTGTGTCGTCGGCATCTAGCGGAACGGGGGGTGCGATTAGAACGTTACGGGCTACTGGAGGCTTTCCGTAACGTTCGGAGTCGGAGCATATGTAGCTGCGTTTACCACAAACGGAGTGGGATGTATCTCGGCTGTCTCGAAATAATAGTAAGTTGAATTATCTTCGTGTAAGTCGGAGTTTCGCTGGTAACATCGAGCTCCGGTGGCTATGCGAATGAATTTATTTTGGACGACTTGGAGATCGTAGAAGTGTCTATGGGTCGTTTGCTTTATGCAGATGGAGCTTGTGTCTTAAGGACAGTTTGCCGTTTCTGTTAACTAGCGGGTGGTAGCAACTAGTGATGATATTGGCTCCATTGCAAACATTGCGAATGTGTTTCGCGAATGTAATATAGGGTTCAAATGTAACCCCTAGATATTTAGTTGTTGATTGTCAGGGGATCTCGAGGCCGCCTTTTTCGGGATTCACTTCAATTCTCCAGAAGCGGGACCAATCCTAGACTAGTTCCAGGTGGAAGTAACAGTTGGGAAGAAAAGCGTCGAATATTCCCACTAGGAGGTATACGAGTGGCGCAGAGAGAGATTTCAGTACCTGTTGCTAATGCCAACGGGGCTGAGTGCCGATGTCTTTTTGAATTTTTTTATTACTTCAGTGATTTCATCGGCTGTCAAAGGATCTAATGGATCACCTGCAGGTGGTTATGCAGACTTACGCTCGACCTCCAATAAGACCACTGCAAGGTCAGCGGAATCTATTGGCTCGCAAGAAGGAATACATTGGCTCTCTAAACTGTCCGCGAGGCATCCAGCCTTTTCAGAGTCGTCAAGGGCGAGGTCGGGGTGTCCTGGTCTAATAAGAGGCGGCATAGGTGAGAATAGTTCTGCTTTCAGAGCTTTGGTCAACTGCCAGAAGGCAGTTTGTGGTGGCACGATATCCGTCAGCAGATTATCCCACTTATCATGTCTAGACTCTTAGATGTGCTGTTTCACCTCGTTTTGAAGGTTAAGCAGTCGGAGTTTGTTATCTATAGTACGATAGTAATCTAGATTTGACGGCTCCGTGGCGCAGTGGCTTAGCAATCAGTTGTTGCGCTGGGGGCCGCGGGTTCGAATCTCGCACGGAACAAGTATTTGTATGGCCTACAAATAATTGTTCCGGGTCTGGATGTTTGTCCTTGTGCAATTTATGTTTGTAAACTGCCTCCACGACACAGGAGAAAATCCTAGTGTGGGGGTAACGTTTTTAAAAAAAAATGTAATCGTATTGTCTTAGGGCCGCGTTTTTCGCTCTAATTAACTATCGAATATCAATCGGACGCTTCATGTGTCGATTGCTTGACACGCTAACCTTACAAGAGCATTCTTGATCTTTAGAAGTGAAGTGGGTTGATAGGGCGCTAATCGCCTCATTGGCTTCCCGTTGTAAGTCTATCTTGTCAGGGATTTTGATTAAGAGCTGGGATGTCGTAGACTCGAGTTTGCTCTCAAGCTTATGCCAGTATAAGATGGTTTTGGTCTGAAGGATCGCACCTGCGGGCTGGCCTAGCTGCATTAGGACTGGTACATACCAGGCCTAATGCATGTTAGAGTCGAGTTCTAATATTGTTTCAATCGATGATATATACAAATAGACAGCTTTGAGTGTCGCTATATCAAGGTCGTCTGGTTTGTGACTGGTTGGACTGCTGATGGTTCTGGCCAAAAAATCAGTCACTGAGTTTTTCTCTCCAGATATTCGCAGTAGCAGCCTGGAGTGGGAAAGTTGGTTGTGGTTACACCAGTGCCACAGTAGGCTCGTTAAGTTAATACTATCCTTGTATCATATATTTTTAAATGACTTTTGCCACAATATCGGAATGAAACTAGCATTTCTAAATTAATATTATTTTGAGTATTATTTGAGGTCTACGGTAACTGAAACTAGTTAAAAGACCGTCGTGTTAACTACACATAATACTAAAATAACATAAATCTTCTCATAAATGAGAAACAACCTGTGCTCAGAATGGAAACACATAATGTATCATAAATAAATATTAGGAAGTTTTATATTTAGAAAATGTTTTGAGACGTATTATGTTAAATAAATAATATGATTTCAATCGGTCAAGTCGTTGAAAAGTTATTTGATTACTGACATATGGAAGAATGATTGTCTTTAATATATTAATTAATACGTAAAGAAAAAAACTTTGTACACCTTTATAAGCATACTTCAATCACTAGGGAGTGTAAGATTTAGCATAGTTAAAGTTTATTTGAAAAAAGAGTGCCGAAAGCAAAAATTTATACTAAATGTGTGTTACAAATACGTTAAATAAAAATTGTGTACAGCCGACTTCAATATAACTTATTTAAGAATAACTCAAAAACGATTAGTCTGACCTTAATCAAATTCATATGGGACCACACGAGAACTATCAGCTTTCATATAAAAAAAGAATCATCGAAATCGGTTCACCCAGTACAAAGTTATGAGGTAACACACATTAAAAAACACAGTCGAATTGAGTACCGTCTCCTGTTTGGAAGTCGGCAGAAAATAAGACTTTCATTGTTTGCGTTCATTCCACCAATGTAAAACACAAAATAGTCTGTCGTTTGTTTACGCTCATTCCTCACACTGCCTAAGTCCAACACATAATAGTCTATGGTTGAACAGTCGCGCAGAGTAGATAGTGTATATGTCATATGTAAATCATAAGCTGCCTGACAAACAAACCACAATACTCATCTTCGATGGTTTTGCTATTTACAATTTTTTCGTAATCATTTATTTTTAATTTAGTGTTCTAAAAGATGTTTAGCGGCATCAACTGGCATAATTAGCTTAAAGAAATTTGCTTAATTGTAATTGTTCAACTGGAACGGGGGTTTAATAGCCGTGGCTTGGTCACCCATGGTGAAGAATAATAATCAAAATACAGATGCGTTGTCACTTCAGATGACTAAGATGGAATGCCTCGTTTCCAGTAAAAAGGTTTTCCGGTTCTTTACACTCACCATACGAAACACAGCAGCATTTAGCTGCTATTTGAGGCTGGTATTCTGTGAAAGTATGGTCTTTCCCCGGTCGAGCCGAGCCATTCATGCTACTACATAATATAGCTGCAATATGCTCTACCACATATAGTACTTTTTTATAAGTTACGTTTCTTTTAGCGTTCCGTACGTCAAAAGGAAGAAACGAAAACCTAGGTCACTTTTTAGCCATCTGTCTTTCTAAGGAACTGGTAGTGAATAATTCAAGCTAGTCAAGTTGCAGGAGCTGCCGAGAGCTTTTTTAAAACTAAATACAAACTACGTGTTCACAGAGAGAGATGCGAATTTATTCTGGTCATTGTCTTTTACAATTCTTAATCCTAAGCTTACAGTCTACTTAAATTACTACATACTCAGCATTTGTGTATTTATGCTGATGGACGTTTTATCTGTATTATGGGTGGTGCTGGTGTAACCATAACTCCTCCCTCCTCGACTGCAAAGTTATCGGCAAGATTTGGATTCCGATGATTTTGCATACAATGTAGGAGCTTAGACTTAAGTTTCCAAATTACAACAATAAGAATAATTGAGTCATCTAATATCAAAGGCGGCAATATCCATTTCGTTGAATTTTGTGTAAAGTGATAAAAACGTATTTTGTGAAATTTATTTATCCCTTAACTTAGATATTTTTTAAATATGGAATGTACAATGAGAATGATCATTTTACTCTGTTTTAGTGAACATATATTGCCTTTTTAAAGCAGAATTCACAAATAACCGTTGGAGATTGCCAACTTTGTTTGAAAGTTTCGAATATTGCCGTGTTTGTTTTAGACAGGCATGGAGATAGCCATGTTTATTAGCGATGGTCACCATAATGTATCTGGTCACCACAATCTTGATATTTGAAGTAAAAATTTAAAATAATAGCCGTAGTAATAATCAAACTCGTTTTTATTACTTATCAATCAGTCGCTGGTTTTTATAAAAATATAATATACTGAATGGCACTTTACGTAAAACTTCAACAAAATAAACAATCATGCAATTAAAAAAAACAAGCATTATTATCCTTAGGTAAACTTCAGAAAATCAAGTACTCTTAAACTATAGACATCTTTCCTCCACTTGCAATTCACAAGTAACTTCTTGTGATGCATCTTCCTCTTCTTCTAGGCTTGATGTTTGTGATAAAACACTTCTATAAAAATCAAATCCCTCCTCATTTTCCCATTCATTTCCAAAATGAGTGGTTAATAGTTTTTTTACGTCTACCAATTTTGCAGGTTTGATTCTCACAATGTTTTGAGTAATCACTTCAGGGTTCAAATCAGAGGCCTTTTTATTTTTACGAGTTATTTTCTTCAATACACCCAAATTATTAGTATAGTGCACTTCCCCTTGAATTACAACATTACCAATTTCTTTTGACCGCTGTATTAAAAATCTTTTGCAATGTTTAAATTGGAAGTGCCAAGAGCCGACATCCTTTATAACTGAACTCATTCCACTCTTAAAGTTTAGGACTTCACAATCAGAACCCATACGAACTATTGTGCTATAAGTGCCTATAATCTCAAGGTAATCCTCCGGTCTTAATATACACTCCAACTTTCTCACATCCTTTTCCACATGAGCAAATACGCGGTCCGGTGGAATGAAAGAGTGTCCTACGATAGGAAAAACTATTTCAATTCTTTGCACGTGATCAGGTGCCGAACTACTTAACCACTTCGAACACATCGCTATCATTATCGAGTTTTTATTTTGCCCCGGACATCCATCTGCTATCAATCTGATCGTACTTATATCTGTCAAATTCGTGTTCATCAGTCTGTGATATACTATGGAAGCTATTGCATTAGCTCCTTTGGCATATTGGTCTTCGGTCCAACAGTAGGCGAATACATTTTGTGTTGTCAGAGGAGTCTTTGATGAACCTTCTACTATAGTACAGTTATATAGATAAAGCTGTCTGGAATAATAAGTTATCTGATCAGGTGTTTTTGGTAATGGTAGATTTTTTTCACAATCAAATGAGAATGTTTTTAAATTGGGTCTTTCTTCTCTCACTAAATTAAAAAATGCTTTAGCTTTAAGTTTGTGAACCCTATGTTCTACCATAAGTCGTTGCTTTTGTGCCTCATCTGATTCTCTTTTAATTTTTTCTAGAAGTAGAATACATGTCGAGCATACATCTGTTCTAGGACTGCCAAAACCGAGGTTATAGTTGTTATTGAAAATTTTTCTGAACAGACCTTTTTTTACTTTTAAATTTGCTTCAAGATTTGGCTGTTTGTTGTACATTTTCCACATTTTGTTAATTGAAAGTTCTGCAGGTAAATATCTCCGTTCAGAATGTCCCCTACAGTAATGTGCTTCGTCAATGTGAAACATATTTATAAAAAGCATTACAGCATTTTTTTTCTCTGTGAATAAATGGGACTTGTGGTCACCGCCTCTTTTTTCTTTTACTGCTTGTCCACCCGATTCCACAAACTTTTTAGCAATATACTGTACTCGATGTTTAGTAATGTTTAAAATTCCGAGGAACGCTTTCTGACATATTGTTATTTTTTTTTTCTGTGATACACTGTAAATGCTGTAATTTGTATGAATGGTTTTCGGATGATGTTTCTTATTTTTAGGTCTTTTTCTCTTGGGAATTACAGGGACGCAGTATTTTAGAAGAAAAGCATCTTGTGTTTCCTTGTTGTGATATTTATAAAATGCCGCATGAAAGTTCATCACGTCTCGCATAGTTATTGACTCGCATTTATAAACACCCTTCCGGAGATGTTGACATCTGGGTCTATTTGGACTTTCCTTAGGGGAATATCTGTAACAAAAGCACATAAAATAAATAACTTGGCACAACTTGGTACAACGTGGTAAAATTTGGCAATACGGCACTACTCACTACGCTCGTGATTCTATTTAGATTGTCTATATCGTTAGCTCGGAATTTAAAATCAGTACTCGTACTAAAAAGTTATCTATTCGATCTGTAACAAATAACTATTGGAACAAAACTTGACAATAATAGATTTTAAAAGAAAATATCTGGCCACAAAACATTTGAACGCAATGAAATCCCATACAACTTTGCTTATTCGAATATCGTGTTAATGCAGACTTTGCTCAAAGAAAGTTTTAAAATTATGACCAAATTACATGCACTTTTGAATAAAATTGATTTCAAAAAAAAAAATTCATGCTAATAAAATCAAGTATCAAATCTGTGCCATCTGTGTGTACTTACCGCTGCCGTTTAGCTATGTTTTGTTTCCAGTTTTCTGGATGAGCCGTACGTTTTCTGGTCTTCCCCGATGTACTCGGCGATGCTAGACACTCCATAATTACAACTTTAACCAAAGTTTTTAGAAAAAAATACAGTATTCATTAGAAAACAATAAAAACACTAACACTATTTCACGAGCATTAACGACCTCAACGCTTATGAAATTCTGCGCTCTGATTGGTCCACATGCATGTTGCCATCATTGATTTGAACGGTACAGGATAATGCCGGGTTTGTTACGAGCTCCAAACTTTGAGCTCCATTTTCTATGGGATAATGCCGTAATTGATGCGTAATGTAGATTTCCTTACAAAACTACGTCCACAGACAATAAAACTACATTCATAGTTAAATTTTGACTTTGAGTGGATATTGCCGCCTTTGTTATTAGATGACTCAATTAAAACTAATATAACATAGAGTAGTACAGTAGCTAAACTAACACTTTTCTTTTTCACTAAGCTTTCACTTTCACTTTCCACTATTTCGCTTTTCAGTTTGTACGAGAGATATTTTAGTTCGTCCAAATTAACGCGATTTAAATTCACTGTTTTCTCCGCATTTGTAGGCTGCTCTATCAATTTGGGTAGAGTTAAAATTAGTGTCACCTTATATTGCAGTTTTCCTGAGTAGTATCGTTTCCGGTGTAATTTAATATTGCCTAATTTTATCTCACAGTTTTCATCGATTTCCAAGAGGTAAGTGCCCTTTACAGCATTTCTTTGAGTGTCATCGCCACACGTTTTTGTAAGCACTATTTCATTTTGTGTAAATAGGATCCAGTTAATAGGACCAATAGACTGTATCTTAACACTTTCCAGCTCTACTATTGATAATTTACAAAGGCTTAGATTTGATGCGAAGTTCATAAGTTGTTCTATGCATGTGTTTTCAGGATACTGCACGATATCAATTTCTTCACACAGAAACTGGTTTGCTGCTATCTCCTGACATGGGCCATCTAAGGGTAAGTACGTGTGATCTTTCACCATGAGGTAAGGATATTTGGGAAAAATAACAGTTGTTCTATTATAGGTGGGATCAAACATAGGTAAGGCATACATTTTAAAATAAGTGTATGTAATGTTATCAGTCAGAGGGATTTCCATGATGAACGTTATTTGGTTTTCTTTTACATAGGCCTTAACAGACATAGATCTTTCTAAATTAACTAAATTGTTTTCAGTAATAGGATACAATAAAATATTTGTTTGAGATATAGATTCTAATATTACTAATAATTCAGTGGAATTAACAATGGCTTGGTGTAGAACGTGAAGTTTAGTAAATGCTAATGCCGTTTCTATTTCGCTTAAAATTAAGTATATAGTTCTAAAATTATTGACAAACATGTTAAACATACTTAAAACATATGTGGAGTATATGCTATTATCGTCTTTAGTAATTATATATTTTACAATTCTTTCTATACGTTTCATTCGTTCATCTATAATTTTCATATTTTCCTGTAGAGATCCAGTACTATTTATAAGAGAGTCAAGCATCTCCGTGATTATTGTTATTTTCTTATTAGTGTGCGTTTGCTGGGTCTTTAATTGAGATATGAGATTGTCGTATTTTATTGCATCATTGTGGTCTAAATTTCCTGTAAGCGTTTTGATAACAGAACCTAATGGATTAATAAGACCGCGCTTGAAACGTATCGAAGGTATGAGTTGTTTAAACTTTTCTACAGCTAAGTTACTTAAATAATTTACTTGTGTTTTCATATTTTGGAATTCATTTACGTATGGCTTATGGATGTCTACTAAACTGCTAAATTCTTTATATTTATTGATATTAAAATTTAAATCATCTTTTATGCTACTAAAGTCTAACTGCTTAATTATAACCCACTTATCTACTTCCTTGTATGCTTGTCCTTGCTTTACGGGTAACATGCCTGGGTTATGCTCAATCTTTAGAAGTTGAAGGCCTTGGGTCTGGATCATCAGATTCAGGTTCACGAAGATCGCCAACAACCTGTGGAGGGCGTTTCACATTTTTGAGGTGCACTTTAGTTTTTCTTTTCCCTATCGTTACAGGTATTATGTTTCTTTCAACATCACCTTGCACTTTCGCCTTTTGATACCTAGGTTTATCCTTACTTTTCCTTATGTTAATATCTTTAATAAAAACCGTATCACCTTCTTTAAGATCAATTCCAGATTCCCCGCTTTTCTTTTTCCTAACCTTTTCTTTATCTGTATGGACTTTTTCGGAAATATACCTATATAAGTATTTGGTTCGTCTCGCGTGGTCTTTAATGAGTTGCTGTGTATATGCCTTTTCAAAATCTACGTCGAATATTTTACCAGAATCGGTATGACCAAATGCTACTTCAAAGGGTGTTAATCCTGTCGTTGAATGAATAGTATGATTATATGCCATGACTGAATATGTCATGACAGATGCAGCGTCTGTGCATTTATGTTCATATTTTGCAAGTCTGTATATTTCAATTATAGTGGAATGAAATCTTTCGACAATGCCTGTCGAATTGGGGTTATTGGGAGTTGTGATATGAGTTTCTATTTTATACATAGATAGGAGCTGGCGCATAAGTTCGTTATTGAATTCAGTGCCTGGATCAGCTGATATTTTCTTAGGAATTCCGTACATAGAAAAATATTTAATTAATGCTCGCACTACTTCAGTGGTTTGTCGACTTGCAATCTCTAAGGCCTACCCTAATTTGCTAAGAGCATCCACAACGGTTAAATAATACTTCTTCTCAATAGTAAATAAATCTATAAATAGTTCCTGAAAAGGCGCATCCTGAGTTGATGTGAGTTGTAGTATAGGTTTTATTGGTTTCCTATCGTACTTCATTAATTTGCACGGTTCACAAGCATTTATAACGGCAGCTACTGTGTCTTGCATATTTTCCCAATAATAGTTTCTGCGTAATCTTATCATAGTTTCTTTCACACCGCGATGACATGTTTTTCCTTCATGGTGTTTGAGAATGACAGCTTTTTGTTCTTTTTCATCCTCCACATATACTACGCGATGTGTACATTCAAAGAATTGTACTGCATCCTTCTTAAAGAGTTCTATAATAACTTTTGCAAATAATTTCCTATGCTCAGCGTTCTCGAAATAAATAAAGTATCGACTCTTAAATTTTATATATTCCTTTAAAAATTGTTTTATTAATTCTTCGTTTTCTAGTGGGAGAAATACCTCTCGTACTTTTTGTTTTTTTCTAGATAAATTTCTGACTTGTAGTTTATTTTGGAACCAACAAAATACTAGGATCTGATTTGGTTTGGTATCTATTGCCTCGCTCAAAATTGGGATTGCTGTTGACTCGGGTTCAACATTTGAATGTATCGTGTCTGTGCTACTACTGTTAGTTACAGATGGTACAGGGTAGTTTTCTTCGAACAGTTCTATATGATCCGTTACACTCGAGTCTGAGTCTGAAATTATCACTGTCTCTGGTTGAGGTTTAGGTCTGTATTTTTCAAGTTCTTTCAGTTGACGTATTACTTTTTGTATGTCATCGTCATCCACATTAACATCCATTGATGCTTCGTCTAAAGCATTAAGTTTTATGCGAGACAAGGCATCAGCATTGGTATTTTGTTTGCCGTTTTTATAGACGATTGTAAAATCGTATTCTTAAAGACGCAAACGCCAGCGTGTTAGTTTGCTGTTAGGCTCCTTAAGGGAATAGAGCCAAGCAAGGGGTCTATGGTCTGTATAAATTTGAAATTTTTGTCCATACAAATAGGGCCTAAAATGCTTTACAGCCCAAATGATGGCTAAAAGTTCGCGCTCTATTGTGCTGTATCGTGACTCGGTGTCACTAAGTGTGCGGCTGGCATATGCAATAGGCTTATCTGACCCTATTGGTCCTTGTGATAATACTGCACCAAGAGCTACATTCGAAGCGTCGGTAGTTAATATATACGGTTTAGTCGAATCAGGGTATTGTAGTAGTGGGACACTGGTCAATATTTCTTTACATTTATGAAAAGCATCTACATAATTTTGGTCTATAATTATCTTATTCCTTTTCTTTAAACACGATGATAGGGGCTGTGTGATTTTCGCAAAGTCCTTTATAAATTTTCTATAATATCCAACCAGCCCAAGGAAACTTTTGATTTCGGTGGTTGTCTTAGGAAGAGGATAATTCTGTATTACCTTAATTTTGTCGTCGTTTGGTCGCAGTCCGTCTTTAGTTATGGTGTGTCCAAGATATAAAACTTCTTTTCGGAAAAATTCAGATTTGTCTAATTGTATTTTCATGTTAGTCTTTCTAAGTCGGTCAAAAACTGTACGGAGTTTCTCCATGTGTTCTTGTAGACTAGCGGAAAAGATAATAACGTCGTCAAGGTACACAAGGCAATGGATTCCTTGCAACCCTCTTAAGACGTTATTCATAGCCCTTTGAAAGGTGGCGGGGGCTGTCTTTAATCCAAATGGCATCCTCAGGAACTCATAGTGCCCATTTTGGGTGCTGAAGGCAGTTTTCTGTCGGTCATCTTCATTAAGTTCAATTTGGTGACAGCCGCTGGCCAGGTCGAGTGTCGAAAAGTAAGTGCTCTTACCTAGTTTATCGAAAAGGTCTGCGGTATTTGGAAGGGGGTACTTATCATCAATTGTAATTTCATTTAGCCTTCTGTAATCTATGACCATTCTGTATTTAACTTCGCCCGAAGCATCAGCCTTTTTTGGAACAAGATGTACGGGAGAATTCCATGGGGAGAAAGATTCCTGAATTACATTATCTAATAGAAGTTTATCGACCTGCTTGTTTATCTCTGTTACTTGGACGGGGGCTAGTCTGTAAGGTTTTGTGAATATAGGGTCCTCGTTTTTAGTCCGAATGAAGTGTTTAACCTGATTACTAAAACTCAAAGGTATCCGTTCACAATAAAATATATCCTTGTATTCCTCACATAGTTTACGAATGTTATGTCTTTCCTCTTCATTCATATGGTTTAGTCGTAACTTGTTTAAATTTTCAAGCAATAACTGGTCCGTTTCTAGATCAGAGTGATCTATAGAATTTACATACGATTTATCATTCACACATTCATAA